ACTCTGGGAACACAAATGAAACTCGTAAACTTGAAAACGCGCAGGGCGGCTCGAAAACATCCAAAGCCCCCCCAATGGCCTCATTCGCTGGAGGCGGTGGAGGCAGTCGCATTCACAGCTCCAACAATGGTGGCATAGTCAGTGGTTGAGCTTTGAACAGGAGCCGCGTGGATGGACGCCGCAAGAGCTGTGTCGGCGTAGATCGTGGTCGTCTCGGAACCGTAGACGGGCTCGCTGGAAGCAGGCACAGCTGCTGACGCAACATTCGTATAAGTGGATTCGGTAACAGTGACAGGGCCTCCCTCAATGGCCTCGTACAAGGGATTGTGAAAGTTCGGGTCGGGCTTGTCCATTGCTTCGTAGTTGTGGGGCATGGACAGAAAGGCGGCGTCATTGCCACCCTTTTCATCCACGTTCAGATAGGTCACTTCCTCTGGGGCAATGTAGTGGGGATCCTCTCGAGGCGCTTTGCGACGAATGGCAAAGACGGCAACCAGGACGAGAAGGGCCAAGCCACCAATCGCGCCGCCGACAGCGATCGCCAAAACCGAACCACTGCCACTGCTGCTGTTTGCAGCATCGAGCATGGCGTTGACAGAGACTACATGCGCGGCGGACGTCGACGCCACGAACGAAGCAGTGCTCGCGTCCGCGGCGGAGGCGACTGATGCCAGCGAAGCAGAGGCAGTAGATGCACCCGATGCGACAGAGGCCGATGCAGTAGATGCACCCGATGCCGAGGCAGTAGATGCGGCCGATGCGGCCGATGCGACAGTGGCCGAGGCAGTGGATGCGCCTGACGCAACAGTGGCCGCAACGGCAGAGGCACTGGTTGCGATGGACGCGGAAGCAGTAGATGCGCGTGAAGCACGAGTGGCGATGACGGACAACGAGGACACGGACGCGGGAACCCGACAGAAATCTCCCATATGCATGTCGCCTCCCACGATCAACGAGTACACTGTAAATCCGGGATTGCAGACGGTACAGCTGTTTTCTTCTGAGCAACGCAAACAATTGTCAGGGCAGCATGTGTACTCGTCCCCAACGCAAGTAGAGCAATACGCGCCGCAACCTAAATCAACGTCAAAGAGTAAGTAAGGCGGCGGTGGGTACAGGTGTCGAATGCAACGACGAAATGCCTTACGGTAAAAGTTGGGTCCGACCTTGTACATGCTGGGAGGCGCTGCTCCGGTGCCGAGCTTGTGTGGGGTCATTGTGAAATCAACCAGATTCAAAAGGCCGTAGAACAAGCCAGGAGGGAACGTTGTGGCATTCAAGTTGTTCAAGTTTCTGTGCACGCCAGTTGCAGGTGAGACACAGCGCACAATTCACCTCATGGCCATCACAGCGAGTACTTACAGCGAATACAGATTGTCCAATCCAAGGAACGATTTGGATGCGAATTGCGAGATCGGGCAGTTCTCAAGGCTTCTGCTCCATCGGTTCACGGTCAGCATTGCGTTGTTGGTACTTCGCTGTGCAAAAAGGAGCCACTCTTACAGCCATTGCAATTGAAGCAGGCCAGCAAATGCATCCGATTCGACGCTCTTGATACTCGAGCCAGTGAAATATCTGTACAACGGGGGGCGGTGGGAGTGAGCAAAAGGACGATTCCAAACATGCTCGCGTTTGCACACATACAGTTCTTCGAGCTTTGTCAGATTGAACGTGGAAAACGCTTGGCTTGGAATGGTCGACATTGGGGCGTTGGTGATCGACCTGAAATTGGACAAAAGCTGGCATCAGTCAAACATACTTGTAGAGCCAAGCAAGCCGCATCTGGAGGTGGGTCGAGCTTACAACATGCGCAAATTTGGAAGTTCGGCAAGCGGGAGGTTGGAGATGCTGGCCACTCCAGTGTTCAGAAGGAACCTGTCAATCATCAGTAAGATGGCCAAAACACAGTATTGAGTCAAATGCACGGATGCGACAGCACGCGGAACAGTTCGTCTCATACAGTCCGTCGACGGTGGCGTTCACGTCGGCCAGTACACCGGCAGGAATGGTGGAGATGGTACCCGAGATTTTACTGTTTGCGGATTGGATGGAATGAGTGATAAACCAGTAGCGCAAGCATATCGCAGTGAATCCTTACAGCATTCGCAAATTTTCCAATCCCCGAAATACGCCTGCCGTGAGCTGAGAGACGCCACTCAATACCCTGCATTTTTTTTGGTTTTGGAAGGCAAAGCATCAGAAGTCAATGGGTTATTCGGGGGAAAGGGGAGGTTTCGAAATTCCAACAAACACGTACAGGCCACTGAGCCCGCTTTGACCTTCAAAGACCCCAGGAGCCAACGTCAGAGGAGCTGCATTTCCTATGTGCCTGCAAGTTGTTTGTGTCATGAGTTGAGAACTGCAGCTCGTCAATGACGCACTCTGTGTGCTTACAATTCCTGTAGAGCATCCAAACCGGCAAACGAACCAGCGGGAAAGTTTGCGATTTGCGCGCCCGTCAAGTCGCTGTTTGACATTCATCCATTGAAAAGACAATTGAGCGCCATACAAAAGGGATTCGGAGGTTTCTGCATGGCAAATCCATTTTGGCAATTTACATGTAGTCGAGGTTGGTCGGGAAGGTTGGAACGGTGGTCAGAGTTGGTGGGCAACTGTCCAAAGAGTTGCCAGTGCAGGTGCAGGCCGAGCACGCATCGGTGGCATTGGCAGATGGAGCAAACAGGCTCAAGACGACCAGCGCTGCCACCGAGCACAGCAGCAGAGTTTGAATGCGTGTCATGGCTCTGTCGGCAATGCGATTTGACAAACTCGGTGAGTCATTATTTTTGGTTGTGGTCATGGCCATGGTCATGGTCCAGTGTGTGTGTGTGTGTGTGTTCCAGATGACTGGGTTTAGTGACAAAGATCACGAAAAACAAACAAAAAAAAAAACCAAAAACCAAACAAACAAAAACAAACCGAAAAAGAAAGAAGAAAAAAAAAAGAAAAAAAAACCGACAAACAGCCGTTTTTGGGACTGCGTTGCCCTCACCTTCGCTCTCTGTCTGTCTCTGTCTGTCTGTCTGTCTCTCTCTCTCTCTCGCTGACTGTCTTCCTGTCTCTGCTACAGCGTGTCTCCTTCTCTGCTTCCGCTTGTGAGAGCAGCGACAAAGCGATCGTTTTTTTTTTTTGTTTTTTGGTTTTTTCAAACAGGTGACCCACGGCTCCCTGCGGGTTGGCTCGTTCGCTCGTTCGCTCGTTCACCATTCGCTCTGGGGTGCCGCTCTGCTCCATCTCACAGATGAGATTCAATAGAGCGCACAGAGACAGGCGGGTCGCTGGAAAGGAAGGCCGCCAGTCTGCAGTAGAACGGGAAGCCGTGCGTCGCGAATGAAAAAACCGAAAACCAACAAAACGAAAAAAACAACTTTGGGGTTTTGCTCGTTTGTGTTGCTTGTTTGTGCTGCGGATTGAGTGCGGCTTCCGCATTGGTGGGTGCCACGCGTGGACACGAACAAGCGCAAAGTACGCAGGGCGTCGTGGATGGGGAGAGCGAGAAGCAGAAAGAGAGAAGGAGACGAGAGAGAGAGCGCAATAGACCTTACTCACAAAAGAACAAATAAAACGAAAACACAGGAAAAAAAAAAAGCGGAAAAAAAAATAAAACAAAGGACTGTTTTTGCTCGAGTTGTCGCGACAATTTGGAAAAGAAACAACAAAAACGAACAAAAAAAGGGGGGTCGTCGTTCGCTTGTGATGGACGACCGAACGCAATACGCCAAAAATGCAATGCAATGCAATGCCAAGTACAAGCGCAAGTGCGGCGGCGTAAGCATTGCGACGTGACGAGTGGCGAGCAGGTTTTGTCTATTTCAATCTCTCTCTCTGCCGCCTTGCCCCTTTCCTCCCCCCCCCACCACCACCTCCGATCAGCATCATTCTCTGCGGATGACTTGACTCGTACAAACAATGTGCTTCAGTGTGTGTTCTCTCTTTGTGTGTGTCTCACGGGGGTCGAGGTCTCATTCATGGGAACAACGGACGATTCGCCAACACTCAAAAGCACAACCCATGACTCACCTCGCTCGTCTCTTCTCCTCTTCAGCGAGAATCGCGCCAATAACACCAGCAACAACATCAACAAACACCTCTGTCTTCTCTGAACGCGCTGCGGTTGGTCTGTGGCTGACACTGCGCCGTCCAAGCCAAAATCGCTGCTGTTTGTGATTGTTGATCGCAACCAACCTGCTCAGACAACGAGCCAACATTCCAACACACGCGTTTTCCCCCATGTTCATTCTGTGCCTGTCATTCATCCCTCTATTCCGACTCTCTCTCTCTGCTCTGCCCACTCCATTTTTTTCTTTGAGCCATGTCGAATTCAGCAGCCAGCCAAGCGAATCCGGCTGCCTCTGCCTCTACTGCTGCCTCGACTCGTCACCCTGCTCCCTCAACCACTTCTACGCAGTCAACGCTGCCCACGTCTGCTGGTGCTGGTGCTGGTGCTGGTGCTGGTGCTGGTGCTGGTGCTGGTGCTGGTGCTCCGGCTTCGTCTCGCCTTGTCGCGCAGCTCTCGGACGACGACCACCCGCACCGCCACTTCCCAAAGTCACCGCTGCTCACTGCGCGCCTGACGCACCAGAACTCGATCGACGACGATGACTCTGAGCTGGGCGACGACGAGCTCGCGCTGCCCGACGCAGCCATCCCGCCGCCGCGAGCCCACTCATCCGCTGTCTCTGCCAATGCCAGTGCCAATGCCAGTGCCAATGCGAGTGCCTCTGCCTCCACCAGCTCAAGCACCGATGCCGCAAGCCCGAGGACTGCGCCTGGTGCTGCCCAGCGACATGCGCACCAGCATCGTCACCATCACCATCACCATCATCACCACCATCATCATGGTAGCATTGATGGATTGGCCGATGACGAACACGACGACAGCACGGATGCTGCACATCATGCTCAAGGCAACAACCCAACTCACAGCAGTCACAATAATGCTGATGGCGATGATCGTGCTGATCATGACGAGGACAGCGACGATGAAGACAGCCTCTTCGCCATGCCAGTCCAGACTTCAAGCATCCCGCTGCTCGTCCCGCTGCCAGTGCCAGGTCATCCGGGTGCTGCTGGACTGCCCCGCCGTGGCCTCGCTGGTATGCCTGCCCAACCGGGTGCGCACCAAGTGCACGACCACGACGACGGCGCGTACGACGCCTACATGCCCGACGAGCACTCACATCACCACCCATCACGCCCACCATCACCAGCAGCACCCTCGAGGAGCGCACTTGCTGCACGATCTCGACAGTGGCGAGCCGTCCAGAGCACGCATGACGAGCGAGAGCGGAAGCGAACCCAGCGGCTACTCGTCCGGCGACGAAGACTCCACCGCTCCAGCGCAGTCGAGCGCCACGACGCTGCCCCCGCCCTCCAGCAGCATTCGCATCCCAGGAGTAAGCGTCACCTCGGCAGACCCGTCCCGCACTGGCGCAGGTCAACGCCGTGGCCGCAAAATGGAAGACTCTCCTTCGAAAGGCTTGCCCTTGCCTGTGCCCACAAACACCCCGTCGAGCTATGTCGAACCGGCTGGATTTGCTCGCTCGGGCAGCAGCTCGAGCGCGCGTAGTGGACTCAGTGGTCTGGCGTCACCCGCACCCGATCTCTTGTCCCCTTCGCCGCTCGACATGACTGCCGCCGCAACCATGTCCTTTGATGCGTACAGTGCCGGTGCCCTCTCGCAGCAGCTGGTTGGGTCTGCTCCTGCAGGTCTTCGAAGCACCAGCGGCAGCAGCGGCGGCGGCGGCAGCAACACGACCTCTGGAGCCGCTGCCGCAAATTCGTCTGGCAAACACCGGTCGCACTTATTTGGCCCAACGGCCCACTATCCTGCCCTGGAAGAGCACGAGTCCAAGCGAAAGGAAATCCAGTGGCTCCGCATCAACTCGATGGCCAACGAGACCTTGGAGCAGTACCGCGAAGGGGCGCCGCAGTTCCAGCGCATCAATGTCACGGACGCCCCGCTCTCAATGGACCAAGTGTACAAGGAGCAGTGCGTCGGCTTTATCAAAGCGCTGCAGTTGCGCCAAAAGTACATGCGCGCGAGCTTCCAGCACTTCCCCGCCCATGCCACCAGCCAGCTTGATTCCGTTCGCGTGCACGCAGGCCTGCCTTCGAGCGTCAACTCGACCGTCACCACCCCGGCGCCCAGCTCCAGCGGATCGGACGCAGCCCCTCACATGGCTCCCCGTCGTCCGACGACCGCTGCTCTCAACTCCCCAGCACGTGTACCCCGGCCCGTCACTGGATTGTTGCGCGATCCCTGGAAGCTGAGCGATCTTCCTGCCTTGCCCTATCACCTCGAGATGCGTCGCGGAGTCGTCCATGTCTACCGCGACGACGAGGCCCGTGCTTCGCACTCGTCCATGTACGAGTTCCCGTCGCTCTCCTCCTACTACAGAGATTTGAACTTTTTGATTGCCCTCACGACCGACGGCCCATGGTAAAGCTCTCTCATGTGTTTTGGTTGTCGTGTTGTGTGTTTGCGTCAATGCTGATTTTGGTCGCTTTTCTCTTGCAGCAAATCGCTCGCCTTCCACCGACTCCAAACGCTCGAGGCCAAGTTCAACCTGCACATCCTGCTCAATGAAACGCTGGAGCTTGCCGCACAAAAGTCGGTGCCGCATCGCGACTTTTACAATGTGCGCAAAGTTGACACGCACATCCACCACTCGTCGTGCATGAACCAAAAGCATCTGCTCCGCTTTATCAAGAAGAAGCTCAAGACCTCTGCCAACGAAGAAGTGATTGTTCGTGACGGCAAGACCCTGACTCTGCAACAGGTTTGTTCCTCGAGTTGTTGTTGCAGATTTTGGTTTTGCATCGACTTGTACTTTTGATCTGATTTTTTTTTGCACCCCCGTTCTCTTTTGCAGGTGTTTGACAGTTTGAATCTGACTGCCTATGATCTCAGTGTCGACACACTGGACGTCCATGCGGATCGCAGCACCTTCCACCGCTTTGACAAGTTTAACTTGAAGTACAATCCGATCGGCGAAAGCAGGTCAGTGATACAGCCTCTTTTGATACACCACCCTTCTTTTCGCTCTTGCCAACCTCTCCGCCTTCTATGCACACACACCGACAGATTGCGTGAAATCTTCCTCAAGACCGACAACCACGTCAAGGGCCGCTACTTGGCCGAACTGACCAAAGAGGTCATGCAGGATCTTGAAGAAAGCAAGTACCAGCACGCCGAGCTGCGCATTTCCATCTATGGTCGCTCTCGCAACGAATGGGACAAGCTTGCGTCGTGGGTTTACGACAACAAGGTTTTTTCCCCGAATGTCAGATGGCTTGTGCAGGTTCCGCGTCTCTAGTAAGGTTTCGTTGTCAAAACGGGCGTCGTTTTTTTTAAATGCTGAACCTGGTTCAAGGGCGTCGTTTTTGAATGCTGAACCTGGTTTCAGGGCGTCGTTTTTGAAATGCTGAACCTGGTTTTTAACGTGGCCTTTTTGTGTTTTCTCCTTGTGCAGCAACATTTATCGCGCCTCGGGCCAGCTCGCTTCGTTCCAGGGAATGGTCGAAAACCTCTTCATGCCACTGTTCGAGGCCACGCGTGATCCAAAGTCCAACCCCAAGCTGGCCAATTTCTTGCGCCATGTGATTGGCATTGATAGCGTGGACGACGAGAGCGTGCCGGAGGTGCGCGTGCACGAACGCTTCCCAGAACCGGCCGAGTGGACGTCCGCTGCAAACCCGCCGTACTCGTACTACATGTACTACCTGCACGCCAATCTCTGCGTGCTGAACGCGATGCGTGCCGAGCGCGGGCTCAACACGCTTTGCCTGCGGCCCCATGCTGGTGAAGCGGGCCCCGTCGACCACTTGGCCTCGGCCTTCTTGACCTCGCAGAGCATCTCGCACGGCATCTTGCTGCGCAAAGTCCCAGTGCTCCAGTACCTGTTCTACCTCACCCGCATCGGCATTGCCATGTCTCCGCTGAGCAACCACTCGCTCTTCCTGGCATTCAACCGCAACCCCCTCCCAGAGTACTTTGCGCGCGGCTTGAACGTGTCGATCAGCACGGACGACCCCCTGATGTTCCACATCACCAAAGAGCCGCTGATTGAAGAGTTTTCCATTGCTGCGCAAGTGTGGAAGCTGTCCTCCTGCGACGTGTGCGAGTTGGCGCTCAACAGCGTCGAGCAATCCGGGTTTGAAGATGAAGTCAAGCGCCACTGGCTCGGCGACAACTACCACCTCGAGGGACGCGCTGGCAACGAAATCCGCAAGACCAATGTTCCTGGCATTCGCATGGCCTTCCGCGACGAAACGCTCGATGGCGAGTGGAGCTTCCTGAAGAAGGCGACGACGTGAGGAGCGTTGTGTTGTTCTGTTTGTTCTGTTTGTTTCTTGGTGCTTGGTGTCTGTTGCCTGTTGCTTGTTGCTCCAGTTCGTTTTGGAAACAAACCGTGTGCGATCGCTTTCTTGGCTGTTTTTGCTGTGCGTTGTCGACCTTCCATGCAATGCTTCTTTTTTCTCTTTCACCTTCCGTCTCTTTCATTGATCACAGTTCCAAGCCAAATCAGTGAATCACAAGCAATCTGAGCGCTGAGTGGTTCAGTCTTGTTTTGCTCATCTTTTTTTTCATTGTTCAGACCCTTTGCGTCGTAATTCTGTGCTCGGTTCGATGATTATCACGATGATGACAAAGTTTTTGACGATGAGAGCAGATCACCGACGGAGCGGCACAATGATCATGATGATGCTCGCTGCAATCGTGCTTCTGGCTCCGACCACCGTTGCTGGAGCGGCTGCGGCGGGCGACCAGACCTCGGATGCGCTCCAGCGGCCTCCATCCCAGTCCCAGTCTCAGTCCGACCCTCCCAGTCATCCGCACGGAGGCCGATCGCGCGCCATCCAGTACCTGAGCGCCGAGTCGTTCGAAGGGCTGAAACAGGTCGCGCCGTTCATTGTCGCCGTTCTCACGGTGTCGCCTGCATCGACGCTCGCCGCCCAGTCACAGCTCGACGCGCGGTACCAGAGCACGTTGGTACGGGTTTGAAGAAAGGGAATGGAGGAGAGTTTGTTTGTAGATCACAAAATCCCCAGATGCAAAATCTCAATGCAAATCTCAATGCAAATCTCAATGCAAATCTCAACCCCTGAAAGCGTCGGGCGATGGCTTGACCATCCGCACCTTGCATTGACATGGGGTCATTGCTGAAATACACCTTAAACCTTTTGACTCATTTTCTTGTTGGTGTTTCTTTTGTCGTTGACCCTTTCTCAGACCTCGTGGGCGCAGATTGCTTCAGAAATCCGAAAAGGCATCCGAAGC